TTGAGTATGGATAAAATCAGGGAGTTTCCCATGCTTGTGACCACGTGTAAGTTTGATATCTTCGATGTGTGAACATTCAGTATCCTCCTTGGTAGCTACTTTGAAAACAGCATAACCATATTGTTAAGTATCATCGCCCTGCTTTGGAGTGGAATACCAGAATGTATTCCTCTCCTGTAACTCTCTGTGTACCTATTGCCAATCCTTGAGGTCCTGTCCTCCACCTAGTCTGTGGTGACCACTACTGTATTTTCACCTTCAGTGAGTTAAAGTTTTCAGCTCCCACATGAGTGAGAACATGCAGGCTTGGTCTTTGTCTGCCTTTCTGATGTGATTGAACAGAATATCTGCAGGTGCAGCCATGTTGCTGGAAATGATAGGATTCCATGAATTTTGATGGTATAAAAGTATTCCATCCTGTCTGTGTACCAGAGATTCTTCATCCCTTCATCTGTGGATGGACAGGTAAGCTGATTTCTTTTCTTGGCTTTTGAGCATAGGGCTGAATGCCACCTGGGATGACAGATAATCTCTTCCATGTCCTGATCATGTCCTCTGTGTATATACCTAGGAATAGAATTGCTGGAGAAAATGGTAGTTGTAGTTTTAGGATTTCAAGGAACATCCAAGTGGTTTCTTTAGTGTGCATACTAGTTTACCATTTCCCACCAGATATGGAAACAAATGCCTCCTCCGGAAATCCACACCTTGACTGGATTGTGTTTTCATATGTATCAACTTTTTTCTTGTAGCATCTGTTGCATGTAGAGTGAGATGGAATCTTGAGTGTGTTTTTCATTTTTGTGTGTGTATGATAAGTGGTACTTGCTATGTTATTGTGAATTTGTTTTTAATTTGTTGTGTAGGACTGGGCAGAGGACCTGAAGACATGAGGTTGATGCACAGGTCAAAGAGAAGATTCTCACCATCGCTGATGCACACAAAAGTGTAAGTGAAAATCACACTCAGATTTCATCTCACTCCAGTTAGAATGAATACTAGCAACATTTGATGGCAGTTTTGTTTCTATAGAGTGTGTGTGTGTGTGTGTGTGTGTGTGTGTGTGGATATATACATTCACCCACACACACACAACCCCAGGGTGCAAGGGACATTTTGACATACGTATGTGTAGTATCATGATCAAATCATCATATCTGGCATCTCTGTGACCTTCCATCATTATTATTTTTCTGTGGAGAGAATATTCAGAACTGTATTTTTCAGCTGATTTTGAAAAAATTTTCTAGATTCTGTTGACCCTAGTCACCTAGTCACCCTGCTGTGCAATAGAACACCGGAACAGATTCATTGTGTCTCAGTGTCACTCTGTACCTGTTACCAATATCTAAGTGTGGTTTTGATTTACATTTTGCTGTGGTTAGAGATGTTTGCCAAGTTATCATGAACTTGTTTCAATTTGATGTGTAAGACTGGGCAAAGAACCTGAAGACCTGAGAAGGTTGCACAGGTAAAAGATTCTGAATCAACATTACTGATCCTCACAAGAAGTCAATCAAAACCACACTCAGATATCATCTCACTCCGGTGAGAATGAGCGTTACCAAAATGGGACGTCAGTTTCATTGCCGTAGAGTAGGTGTGTATAACCAGCGGCTGCAAGGGACAATTTGATCTGTGTAAAGGTAGCATCATGATGAAGTTTCAGAGTCTGGCACCTCCGTGAGCTCCAGAGTTATGGTTTCTCTGTGGAGAGAACATTCACAACTGACCTTTCTAGCTGTTTTGAAAATTTTGGTTTTCTGTTCTTGCCTTTTGTTCATAATGGCCTATGGCTCTGTCCAGGTTTCAGGTAAGAGCATGTATTTGTATTTTATGACTGTGTAGTGTTCCGTGGTGTGTATGTACCACATTTCCTTTCTCTGATCCACTTCTGATGGGCACCAAGGCTGATTCATGTCTTTACCATTGTGAGTAGTACTGCCGTGAACTATGTGAGTTTTGGATGGAAGGATTTTCCTTTTTATAGATCCTTAGGAGTGGGGTTGCAGCGTTGGGTGGTAGTTCTCTTTTAGGTTCTTTGAGAAATGTCCACACTGCTCCCCAGGGGATCTGACTAGTTTGCATTTCCCCCAACAGTGGACCTGCATTTCCTTACTCATCTGCCCCAGCAGCCTCTATTGTTGTGGACTGTGTGTCATAATTGCCATTCTGACCAGTGTAGATCTTATCTCAGTATGTTTCTGATTTGCATTTCTCTGATGATCAGTGAGATCGAACATGTTTTCATGCTCGTTAGTTACTGGCACACCTCCTTTTAAGTGTTCATGTTCCTTGCCCTTTTATAACTTGTTGTTGTTTTTTTCTGATTTTATTTGTTTAAGGTCTTTATGGTAAATCGTAGATATTAGACGTTTTTCAGATGTGTAGTTGGGGAATGTTTTCCCTCATTCTATAGGCTGTGTGCTGACTCTGTGGCTGTTTCTTGTTCTGTGCAGCAGCTCTTTTGTGTTTTAGGTCCCACTTATCAGTAATTGTTTTTGTTGCCGTTGCTTTTGGGGACTTGACATATAAATGCTTTGCCAAAGCCTCTGTCAAGAAGGGTATTTGCTAGATTCTTATGTAGGATTTTTTTTTAATAGTTTCAGGTATTGGATTTTTATGTATTTACGTATTTATTTACAGACAAAGTCTCACTCTCTCATACAGGCTGGAATGCAATGGAGTGATCTCGGCTCACTGCACCTTCCAGCTTCTGGGTTCAAGTGATTCTTCTGCCTCATTCTCCTGAGTAGCTGGGAGTACAGGCACGTGCCACCACGCCCAGCTAACTTTTGGTTTTTTCTTAGACATCGGCTTCACCATGTCGGCCAGGGTGGTCTCAAACTCCAGGACCTCAAG